ATTCTGTTGTGTATGGAAGTCATTGTAGTAAGTACCTTAGCTATTGCTGAGTAAGTAAGTGAGTAAACAAAATTACTTCTGTAACAAGCTGGGATCACAGTTTCTGATTTGAAAATATCTTAATAAAGGAGAAATTCATTACCACTCAATGATTGTTCTCCTTTGCCTATACTGAGAGCACCATAAGAGCGGGGTAGAAAGGGAAGCAGAGGCATTTTTAGTTGGTGGGAATTTCCCAAACCAAGGTACCAATAAAGTAAAACTGATAGTGTAATTTTGATGACATTTACTTAATGGTACATTTAAAAATAAGTATTTTATTTAAATAATTAAAATTATCTTCCTAATTGAATATTTATAGGTTTATATAGTTTATATGGTCTGTCTGACACAAAATAACGATGTTGGTCCTGATTCAGAAATTTATGTATGTACTACTTAACTTTAAATATATACCTAAGTGATAATTGATTCAATACTAATTAACAGTCGTGTGGAAATCTGAATCAATTTGCTTTCCAAATAGAAGAATGTTAGGTAGGAAAGTAAAGGCAATTTAGAGGGTAAGAAAAAAACCAACAAAACGCTGTCCCTACAGTGAACTGAAGTCCCACTGTCATTTTCAAGTAGTGAATGAATTGAGTGGTTCTGTCTCTGTTTTATATAAACAAGAGCTGCCAGTTTCAGTTAGAGAAGTAAATATAACCTGTCTTTATGCAGGTGTGCAAGACTAATAGAAGTTTTACTTTAACCTGTCAAGGGCATGGTCTTATTGCAGTATCCCCAGCTAACAGAAGCAGTCTGCACAGAAGCAGTTACAGGGTTCTGAAAATGAAGGGAATCAGTTATTTGTGTGCTGGAAAAGCTTTTCTGCAGATGCTAGTTTAATACAAGAGTCTTGGGTGCTAACAAGGGATTGGGCTAGATTGCTGTAAATTCCTGCAGCAACCTAAACTTCACATCTCTCTAGAATGCCCTGGGAATAAAGAAATCAGAGGTATCACAAACGTCAGGGCAATGTGATGCCTTCTTCTCTTTTGTCCTAGAGACAAAAAGAGACTCCTTTTAAAGTGGATTTACCGCTCAGCTTGCTTCCTAATCAGAAAGAAACACTGTGCAAATCCCTCACAGCTCTGTCCCTCCTATGCTTTTATACTCTGGAGATTTACATGTCCAACTCTTCCACAGTCCCTATTTATAAATCCATGTTTCAAGATGGTATAGTGAAATAATCTAATATCTTCCTGCTGGTCACCACTTTCCTGTAAGTAGTTTTAAAAGAGCAAATGAATTTCATTACAGTTAACAGTCCAATTATTCTCTATGGATTTGGGCAAGTGGGGTAGTAGTTTCTCTGGAATTTTGGTGGGAAATGTTCTCTGAACAGGCCTGACAAAGTATGTGTCTTACAATCCATTGTCTCTGACTCGTGGGACAATAATAAGGAAGCCTGACTGCAGCCTTGCCTCTGTCCTGCCCAAACTTAGTTATATGACATTCTTAAGGAAGGCAGTTCTTCTGGTATCATACATATACATCCCACGTAACCAAAATTTAGCATACCACAGTACTTCTTAGCAAATTTACAGAATCCCAATGCCTGATACAGGGTCTGGTGTCGTAATAATAATCTCAGGAACAAATAGCAGCCTTTAAGAACATTATAAAATGCATCTATTTCTGTCAGGAACTGAGTCCTTACAGTGAATAACTGTCAGTGACTGTAAACTTGCTTCCTGTAACCAATCAGTCCGCAAATACATCTTCATTTCAGTGAAATCATTCTTTAATGTACATTAAAATTATGTGAGAACTTTTTTTAATCTAGGGTTTGTTTTCAACTTTTTGCTATGGCTGTTTTCTCCATTAAGAATTTGCTACTTATGCATTATTCGCTCATCTTGGTAACGTAGGTTTTTCTGCAAGTCATTTTGAAGTTGGATGGGCAAAAGGGGTCCTGAAGTTCCCATTTAAGTTTCACTCTCTCTGAATAACATTGTCCATCTTGATCAGGTCGTATTTTTAATAATGTCACTTTTGTAAGTCTTCAAAGTACCATTGGTCTGCATGAGCGATACTGTTGGTCTGCATGAGTATCATCAGTGTTTTTTCCCTGGAGAGAGGATGTGGATAAGAACAGAAGGAATTCAAGATATCAGGAGAAAATGTTTTGCTCACGAGCACAGCATATCGTCAGGGGGAGGCAAAGGCACAGCTGTGACACAGGCGGGCCAAAGTGCATGTCCACAGATCTCTCATGCAGGAGGAGTGCAAGGCTTTGCATTGACCTAAGAAGGGAAATAATTGATGTCCATAACTTTGCCACTTGTTGAGTATTGTCAAATTTGCTTTCTTATGCAAATGGCTGCTTATTGAGAGCTGTACAGTGCTGCTGTGGTCTCACATCCACTATTTCAGGCTTCTGACACAACTCTTTCCATACGTTTGACAAATACAATAAGTATCAAGTTCACATTCATTTTGAAACCATATAAAGGTTATTTACAAACAAACAAAACCTTTTAAGTGTTCTGTCATTGCTTAAGCATTGATTCACTCCCTATGAATAAATCAGTACCTGTAAAGCAAGCCCTAAGAGGCAGAACTCTCTGTACTACATCAGAATTGTTCTGTGAAGCTGCCAAGCAAAGACATGTGAAAATACAGGTATTTATGGACAAAAAAAGCTTCGCTTCTTTTTAAAGCCAGCAAAATTCTCTTTCCTGTGTGACCATAAAAGTCTATTTGAGTTTGAAATCATGTTTCTGAATTTTGTACTCTTGTGTTTGATCCCAAACTTTTCAGGTAGCAGCTTTCAGGGCTCAGTAGTACTGAATCTTCCCCACTCTACTCCTTTTATTGAGAGACTTAGCCTTACTGCATTTAACTTGTATTACATTTTTGCCTATTTTTACAATTTTTCCAATATTATTTTTACTCAGGTTATTGCTTGTTGTAACAGATTTCTCATGAGCAACTATGCAGGTATCTCATGGGAAATTGCATAAGACTTTGTGATAGCTGGAAACTTAACTAACCCCAGCAACTTATAAAGTAGTTCTGGAGATGATGGGAATTAAAAGTGACTTACAGAACACATTGTGCTATGTCATCTCTCTCTGTGCAGTAATGAAGTGTGTAGTTACTTTGGTACCAAATCAGATGCTTAAACATTCTCTCCAGTAAACATAATCCATATTCACCTGTATGTTTGTTTCCAACTCTTTCTTTAGCACACTTTCAAATACATTGGTAAGAAATAATCATTAACCTGCAAAATACATTGTTTTCTGCTATTTCAGTATCATGAGACAAAACTATACAAGGCACCAGTTGGGTTTTGGATGACTAAACCATTTTACCTTCTTATAAGACTAATGAATCAGTAGGCTTTTGTCTCCATATAACCCATAATGAAAAAATAATATTAGTGAATTTAGTTAAAGTAGTACTACAAAGAGCTGGAGGACAGAGTTGGAACTGCCTGGATGTTATGTGTGTGGAAAAACTGTCAAACTGCATACCAACTTGAGGGAAAAATCTAATTTTTCCAAAACTGAAAAGAAAAAATTCCAATAATTCCAGGGGAAATGGGTTCATGCCCAAAATTAGGTATGTCTTGTTTAAAGAGGCCCATGTAGCATGTTGTCAATTTGTCAGACTGATTCTGCTTAGTCAAATTGTGCCATATAGCTCCACACACCAGTAATTGGTGTCTACCTTTTTGTGACAACACTTTCCAGGAGTGCTTAGTCCTAAACCCCCGTGTCAGCAGGGCCTCTCTGTACGCTTTTAATAGAGTTCAAATTATGCCTTTATCTGCTTCCAAGTTTTGAATTGGTCAAGGGTCATTTCCTAAGATTCTCTTTATGCTATCAATAAAATCTCTTGTGTGTGTTGGTGTGTTAATTGTTCTTGTGTGCAAATACAACCTGTAAAGAGCTGTAAAATCTTGTACAAATACTTGCACATCATCAGTTTACATTTTTCACTGAATAAATATGAGATCACTAAAACATGTTTGTAATGTTCAATGAATAATAATAATGTTTACTGAGGCAATCTAAAATAAATAATATTAATGAGCATTCTCATACCATGATATCAATATAAACACTATCATTAACTTGCCCTCTTTATATTTTTCATTATGTTGTTGTTAAGCATTCAATAATGTGTTTTTAATGAACTCTTATTTACTGAACAATGAGATAGCTGTGTTAATAAATTTAATTAGCCATGCAAAAATGTTAATTAAAAAAAAAAACAAAGAAAAATTACATCTGTCTGGAATATTGCTGTTGCTGCAGAAGGGGGTCACAGACACTCAGAGGGACGTCAGCACTGGAGCCAGTCTCTGGCCAGGGGCCCTAAAAGGTCCAAGTCCCAGAACCTGAGGCTCAGTGTGGCTCTCAGGGTTTCTGCAACAAGTAGGAGCTGTGGTGACTTCATGCACCTTGGAAGAGTTTTAAAAGTTTTATCAAACTATGGCCTGAGACATTGTTACCAGGTTTGTCTTTAAAGGAAGAATTCTCAAAGGTTGACCTCGAGATCAACTATTGATAAACTCATGCTATTTCTTAGGAGAATGTCTTCTAAAAATCTGTGAGATTTATGGTCCCACAGGATTTATCCCACTACATTGTCCAAAACTTTTGTATAAATTATTAGAAGACACAATGTAGGAACAATTTCTACATGGCATTCACTAGAAAACCTAAATTATTCTTCTTTTAAATTAGGATATTTGGATCAGGCATCTGGTTATGTGAATACAATACTAACCATGTGATAATGTATTTTTTTCTGAAACTGTTGCCTGACTTAGACACTGTATCACTAGATTTTTCAAGGAAAATTCAATGCTATACTGTAGGAAACATTTCTTCTTATTGGACAAATGTCAATAGGCTTCTTTTTCTACATTATCTGCATGCATATAAATATGATTTTTAATTTTTCCGTGTCCTCAGAGAATGGAAGAATTAGAAAGAATGATATCTCCATGAGAAAATCTTCACATAATGAAGTCCATACTGCATAGATTGAAAGTTTATTAATATTAAAGGAGAGATTTCAGAAGTTTAGGTAAGAATATAGGTAAGCCATTTTTGTGAAAGACAAAAAAAACCCCCACAATTTTTTAAAATAAATACAATCCTTATTATACTGAATTATACAACTTTTAAGTAAATTCTGGAAGGTGGAATCCACTCTTTTCACAGGGATGGGATCAACATTTTCACATTCCCTCACCTCAGGTTATATTTACCATTTTTACCACGCTTTTTTTAGCCTACACATAAGATATAAATATCTTAATTCAATTCATTGACTTCCAGAGGGCACACTGATTCAGTTTGGAGAATGGTCTTGCTCAGGACAACCATCAGTGCTCAAAGAAATTTAATGTCATTCATATTTGTCACACAATACCTGAAAATATGGCAGCCTACAAGTTCACATGAGAAAGTGAGTTTCTGTACATTTCTTTTAACTGTCTTCTTTGAAAAGCCTTCCTTCCATTTACAGTATCAAAAATCAATAGGATGGGTTTGGGCTTTTCTTTAAAAAAGCTTTTTATTTTTAAGTTAAGTATTTTAAATATAATATTAAATCCTTGAAATAGGCACAGTTTTAGCTGCAAGAACTGCTGTCTTCATTTTAACTAACTTTTATCTTTTGACAACAGCAGCAATTTTGTAGAGGGAAGAAATAATTAGAATACTTTGTGATTTCAACTAGTGATCATGATCATATATGTCTAAATGTTTCCAGTTTTGAAAATTAAATTTTACTACCCTGTCAAGGTAATATTCAGTTTAAAATCTGAGCTTTAAAAAAAAAAGATTTTTTTTAAGTAACAGTATCTTTTTATTCCTCAGAGCAATTGTAGACCTGAAGTCAAATTTACATTAACTCATTCTGGTAGTGTGATTCTCATTTAAAAACCTGAGATTTAAAACGTAGGATGTGGTTAAAGTATGTCATATGCAAGAATATGATTCTGTACTGACTCTTACCTTATATTTTTCAAATGGGGAACAGAAAAAGTATTTATAGTCTGGGGAGGACTCTGAGTGTTGAGCACTGAACATATATAAATCTTTATCCAGGTCCCACAGGTTATTGCTGAATACTGAGCAGTCTGAGAAACCTTTGAGCAATTTGAGAATTTTGCCATAAATATGGGTGTAGAAGGAATAAAAATCAATCCAATCAGTATAATAAACTGAAAATATCATTAATAATTATTACTAATAACAGCAAATTTAGGTCTTTTCATAACAGGAGGAGAATGAAACTGTGTCCCATACCCTATCCATGAGCACAGGCCCAGGTGTACCTGGGATGTGAGTGACAGAAGGTAGGTACCACTGGTCTGAGGGCATTTCAGTCTGTGGAACAGTTCAGAGGGAGCACAGAAAATATGAAAATATGTTAGAATACTTTCTGTGTAGCTGAGTAACTACTTGATAATTTATATAGATTATGTTTTCTTTCTTTCATCTGGCTTGCTGAATTTCTGCACTCAGGAGAACGCAAAAGGGACTGCTTTGGGTTTGTCATTTCTGAATATGTATGGAAGAAAAAGAGACATTGTTTAGCCATGACAGTTAAGACATGTCACACTAACTTTGAATAACGTAAATCGCATTAAAGTGGATTTAAAAAATGGACCTGAAACAGAGCAACTTAAATTTATTTATCTTTTATAGGTCCTGGTGCTCTAAGGAAAGAATTATATGACCTATACTCTAAGACAAACAAACAAACAACAACAACAAAACCCACACGCAGAGAAAACCCTAAAAAAGACCCTCCCACAGATGATTTCACTTCAGGTTTGGTGTGGTTTTTTGGAGGAGGGAGGAGTGGGGGTTTTAGTGGTTTTTTTGTTTGGTTGGTTGGTTTGATTTGGGGTTTTTTGTTTTGTTTTGTTTTTAGGGCGAGGGTTTTTTGTACATTTGATAGGGGTGAATTTTTAGAGTTCTCTGCAGATTTCGTGTGCATAACATTTAATTTCTAAAAGATGGTCTGTAGTATACTCATGCAGTTACTGTAATAACTTGGCTACTAATGTTAATCACCAGCACACTTAAAAATGGGGATAATGCAAATGTACATAAAAGTAAATTCACATTATGTGAGACTTGTATAACATTTATAATTAGGATTCATTTTAAAAGTGCATGAAAACGCTGTGAGGAAATTTAAAGTGACACGTATTACTATTATGCAAATCCAGCACTTAGTAAACTCCTTATTCTCATACTGAATTCTGCTATCTAAATAATTGCTTCACAACTGGAAATTATCACCAGCAGCCAAATTCTTCTCTCCCTTCCAAGCCTTCCCTTGATCGTGTTTATTCAGTAATACAACAGTATTCAGCAGTGTTGATAAACATGCTTAGTGTTCATTTGGTTAAGCTTCAGTAAACTGAGCCTCTGGAATTAGCAATCAGTGGTTACAAGGATGCAATACATAGTGTAGTATATTTAGCTACTCTACCAGAACCTTAGCTAAAAAAGCATGGAACATTTCAAAGCTCGGTTGACATTTGTTACTTTTTTCTTGGCAGTGTCACTGGCTTTTACATCTGTTCATAAATCATTTTTAGCCTAATGTAGTGTTAAGCCTTCTTGTTTTGCAATAATAGCCAGGGTGCTGCCCAGCAGAGGGAACACAAACAGAAACACAGAGTCAATTATTAGGGCAGGTAATGGTGACTTCACTTCTTCAGGTAGGGAAAAAAAAAAAAGTTGTCAGGATCTGCTAATGGAAAAAGATTAATTTAAAAGGTAATTATAGATGGAGAAAGATTAGTAGAAAATAAACATTCAGAACAAGGTTAAGAAACATCAGACATACACAAAATAAGCAGGCCAAGCAAACTCTGCCTAACTGTGCCTGGAATCAGTTTTTCTGTTTCTACTTATAAAAAGATTGACCCACCATACTATGTACAGGTCCATAGCACAAACCCAGAGCAATTGCTGAAAAGGAAAACTTCCTCTCTCAGCCATTGGAACTGAGCTATTGTGGCACTCTTGTGGGGTCAGTAGTTGTGAGAACAGAAATCCCACTAGAATTTTACTATATTGAATTGACACTGCTGCAACTATTATGTTTCATATAAAAATGGGGAAAAATGAAGAGATGCTCTAATAACAAACACTATTTACTCAGCAAATTAATATTTAAGAACTTAAAATATGTGATGGTGATTTCATTCATAACACATGGGTCTATTACAGGTTTTTATAGTGAGGTCTTGAAGTTTACCATTTAATCTTCAGAAGCAATCAAGAGCTGAATTCATTTGATATGGAGTTTGAATTCAATTTGCTTGACTCTCTTGCTGGCATTTACACAGTTTTCATCAGAATGCATGGAACAGTGAACAGTAACAATATATTTTTATAAACTACCAGTGGGCATTTCATTGGAACAAGTATTTCTGGCAAAGTAATTAAAGAGTAAATTTTACCACATGTACCCTCCAAACAGTAGTAGGTAAATATTCCCAATAATGAACTGTCTGAATTATTTTAGTTAGATGAAATGTCAACAGCAAGACTGATTTCAAGACATATTTACAAAAGATGAAATCATATTTCCAGATGACTGGCCTGAGACTCATCCCAGTGGTACCAATGTAGAAACCACTGAGACAAACTCTTTGTATTTGGCTATGGTCTGTGCTCATCATTTCTGAATATAGCTCTGGTGCTGTAGTTGCTATATCTGTAGAAGCTTAGCACATCTGCTGTATGAATCTGGAATAAAAAAGTGTAGCCTTGTAATTTCCCAGAAAATACTAACACTTCTACCTCCTCTATGTGGAAAAATGCCACAGACCTGGATTAAACTCACTTAATTTTAGCTAAATGTAAAAAGACTGTGAAACTAGTCTGCATCAGACATTCATGTTTTGTCTATAGCCATGGAGATAGGGAAGAGAGAAGAACTCATCATGTTACATTTTGGTGCTCAAGATTTTTTGGCTGCGTTACCTGTTCTAGGCAGTCTTTTCCCTTTAATCAAAGTGGAACTTCAGCTCTTGGACAAGGAAGTGCTGACAGCTGGATGGCCTGACTGCTGGCCTTTCTCTCTTTATGGTGCCATGGACTTCAATTAGGATTGGCAAGAGTGAGATGCTACTCACTCTTTGCAAATTATGGCCCAACTTGTGTTTTAAGCAGTAGACATGTTAGAGGGAAGACACTTTTCTTGTAACAGTTTTATTAAGCCTATTTTTAGAGGAATAGCATACAGCATATGTTTATTACTACATTCTTCCCCCTGGAAGCAGAAGGCAAATTCATAATTTCTTAAAAAAACATTAAAAGAACATTTTTGCTTTCTATTTATGGTCTTATTGCACGTTAGAACTCTACTGTGATAAAGGACCTAAAAGACAAGAAGCGACAGCCTTTGTCACCCCTCCTGCTAAGGGTAACAATAAATGTGAAATGAAAAACATAACAAAAAGGATGGTAAAAGCTGTCTGTTTGGGAGTTCTGAAGAAAAGTGCATGCCTATCAAAAGAAAAAAATGAAAAACCTGCAGCTCAGTGTTTCTTCTCAGTTGCAACAAAGCTTATCATCCTTTCCAAACAGTATAAATAGTAAGTATTCACTGACAGAAGGGAATTTCAGAAGCTAACAACTTCAAGACAGTTGATTCCTTAATGGCACCAAATGGAGATTCAGTACAAGTTGGTCTGCCAGTTCAGAAATGTCACATGATGCAAACCTCTCATTTTCTCACAAGAAATAAAGGATGAATCACTGACTTCTGTTAGGAATCAGATTTTAAAATATCAACACAGCATGTAACCTCAATAGAAACTCAAGTGTCTTTCTATGTTATAGCTTTTAATTTCACTCTGCAAGGTCTATAACCAAATTTATGTGCTGATATAATTTAACTTTTAACCTGACTCCCTAAAAAATCATATACTGTGTATATGTATATGCATATATATCTGCCTGTCATTCTTCCAGTCATTTTTCAAGTTGCTCAGTTTTAGCTCAATTGGATAGAAAGATACAAGTCTGATATATATTTAATTCTGCAAGATTTAGAAGAATATCTAGCTGGAAGAGAGTGGAGGGGAGAAGAGAGGGACAGATCTTTGTGGACGTTCACCCCTGAGGAGAAGGCATTTACAGAACTGTGAGTAATACTGATCTGTCCAGGGTGCCAATTCAGTAATACTTACCCAGAAAGCAAGACATACTAATAATTCATTCACCAGGGTATTTGGAAAGGAGGAACGAGGGTAAGGACAGATCAGCCTGTATCTATTCTTCACCTTATAAGAGTATAAACACAATTCTGCTTCATATTGATGGATGTGAGAGTCCCTTCACATTTCCACAGTAAACACACGCAGTAGACTATGGCACATATAACATTTCTTATTTAACAAGGAAATTTACAGAAAGAAAATCAACTCAGCTCACTGAGAAATCATAATTGAGATACCTTACTTTTATTTAAAAAAATATATGTTGGATATATTGCTATTAATAGAATATTAATGTTAGAAAAGTTGGGAAGTTGTCTGATGAGTTCAAGGAGAGGAAGAGTCAGACATGAGGTAAAGTGACCTCTTTGAGCTGGAAAGTAGTTTTAAAGAAAGGACAGCGTTATCATCTGACAGAACTCTGTCAGCAGTTGGGCACTTGCAAATTAGAGGCCCCTAAGAATCACACGACAATTCTTAACGTGCATGTATGTAGGAGGTAGATGCTTATAGAGGTGTGTTTGGAAGGCAGAAGGCTTGTTTTTCCAAAGGCTTGAAGACTAAAGGTAGACTATTAGCAAGAAAATGGATTAGATAAAACTGTGAGTGACCATTCTTTAGCAGATTAATGGGGGTGTGTAAAAATGTGATAATAAGGTTTGGAAGAGTATAACAGTGTTTTGCAGCTGATGATAATGCACAATGTAACAAATCATTATTTCACAGCTCGGTGCAATACTAAGCATGATGCGTCTAGGGAATGTAAAATTAATTTTATTTAATTTTCTGGCAAAAAAAATTTGCATAAACTATGTTAGCTTTGCTGAAGGGTTCTGCTTCTCACCCATTATGGTGAACTACTTCTTGTCCTTTTAATACATAAAAAAATTACTCATACAAAAATTAATTTCAAAAAATATACTAAGTTACATAACTTGTATTTTCTTTCTTCATTGAAAGTAACCAATGAAGACTGAGAAAAATACCAGTTTTATGAATAAATCTACAAGTTCAAGACACAAAAGGAGTCAAATGTACCTTGAAAAATAACATTCCTAAATAGTCAATAGCCTTACATAAAAACATAGCATTTTATGGTACACACTTTTCACTGCATCCTCAGGAAACTTTTAGGTTCCCTTTTTAAGATCCACAAAGTAAAGACAGTATATGAAACAGTGAGGAGAGAAGCAGTAGTTTGAGTGAGAGTTGTAGTTATTCCCTGTAGCAGGTGTGTTCCCTTAATTTCCTGAAGAGCTGATTTGTTCAGCTACATTAGGACTTCCTTGTGTTATTCGAATTCAGGAATGACAACACTCTTTCAGATGTTTTGGGAGTGAATATGGAAAAGGTGCCATATCTGCAGTTCTAAATGGAGCTGCTGATCTTGGCCAGTGCAGTGATCCCAACTGAGGCAGCCAAAGGCAGCTCTGAGGAGCCCTGCAGCCTCTCTCAGTGATGCTCTCTGCATAAAATACTTGAATCACGTGTTGGAAAAGTACCAGGAACTTTGAGCGATGCTCATTCCTGAGCATCCTGCCTAGTCCTGATACTGTCTGGGAAGATAAGAAAACAATG